AAGAGCACATTGAGATTCCCTTAAACTTGGTGTCACAGTTGCAGGGCTAGCTGCACCTCTAGCCCCTTTTGGGTTGCTCTGAGTACATCCCCTCAGGTGTCAGGCCTCATGCCCTTACCTCCCCTGGGGTGAAATTCTGCAATATTCCCATTCCTAGACTGGGCTCTGGGCTTCAGTAACATGTGTATCAACCATGCTTACCAAGCAGGTTTGAATAGGATCAGCCTCTGCAGCTCTTCCCTTCAGGAATCTGGCCAGTGGGGTATACAGTGGCTAAGCCACCTTCTTAAAACCAAAGTCTCATTTGTTTAACTGTAGGAACAAAGCTTTGAGAAAACAGATTTTAAAAACTATCATCTACACTAATGCTGGTGTTACCTAATGGCTTTACCACCCCCTGCCAGTAACCTAGGCAGGCCTAATTCCTCTGACACCTCCAGCAGGTGCCTGGGTTGCAGTCTGGTTCCCCCAAACAATTTTACCTTGAGGCAATGTTCCTTTTTAAATATGCCAAAGATCTTTTGATATCCTGTGTTCATGGCTATAATAGGAGATGCCTGCCCTGCCATTCATCCTTCTGACAAAGTGTGGCTCTGCAGTGTCCCTTCCTACCCCCAATTAGGGACTCTATAACAGGGTGGCTTGCCCTGTGGGCTAGAAAGCCTGGGGCCAAGCCAGCCTTGATTACAAGATGAATGACCCAGAGAGAAATCAGGTCGTTAAAATATAAAAGGCAGCAGGAAGCTGCAAGGGAAGAGTGTGACTGAGAGAAGTATCTGAGACTACCAGAGGTAGGAAGCCTGCCAGTAAGCTACGGACGCCTAAGGGGAGATTGTGTGGCTCTGGAATGGATGATTGTTCTGGACTTTGTTCTGTTTTTGACAAGCTTTGTTGCCAACTTGGTGGAGAGTGAATTAAAGAATTTGGGGCTGAGAAGGTGACTAGCAACTTTGTGAATTCTTAAAGGCCCTGATGAAGGGGAAGTAGAGGCAGGTGGTGGCCAGGGCACTACAGACTCCGTATAAGAATTACAACAGGCTTACCTGTGTTTGTGCCCAAGCCAGCCTTATTTATTAATACAATCTCACATCATCATTTCCCCCTCCCCCAACAGAAAAATTTACCCTATTCTAAACTTTTATGTTCAGCAAAAATAGCTCTATCGCCTTAAAATTCTTCCAGTTCACCCATTCCTGAGCGCTTCTTCCTTGAACTGTTTTAAGCCATATTGGTCAATGCTTAAATATCCCACTTCCACCACCAACTTTGTGGCCAGGTGAGCTCTCTCCAGACTCTCCTTCTGGAGACAAATGTCTTGTCTCAGCATATTATGTTCCCTGCCACCTTTCCCCAGATGCCTGCTGACTGCTCCCTCTCCCTGGAACAAGCTCTTCTCTAAATGAGGGACCTGTGGTCTGGATGAAATTATGGTAAAGTGGGTGCCCAACTGGTTGAAAAACCATAATCAAAGAGTAATTATTAATGGTTTGCTGTCAAACTGGGAGGACATACCTAGTTGGGTCCTACAGTGATCTGTCCTCGGTCCAGTACTAGTCAATATTTTCATTAAAGACTTGGATAATGGAATGGAGAGTATACTCATCCACTTTGTGGATGACATCAACTGGGAGGGTTTGCAGGCACTTCAGAGGACAGAATTAGTCTCCAAAGTAACCTGGATAAACTGGAGAATTGGAGAAATCAACAAGATGAAATTCACTAAAGACAAGTGTAAATTATTGCACTGGGGGGGGGGGGGGAAATCAAATGCACAAACTACAAAGTGGGAAATAACTGCCTAGCTAGTTGTACTGCAGAAAAGGATCTGGGGGTTATAATGGATCACACATGGAACATGAGCCAACAATGTGAAGTAGTTGCAAAATAGGTTAATATTCTGGTGTATATCAACAGGTATGTCATGGGTAGACCACAGGAGGTAGTTCTTCTGCTCCACACAACACTGGTGAGGCCTCAGCTGGACTACAGTGTCCAGCTCTGGGCACCACAGTTTACGAAATGTGAACAAATTGGCGAGAATCCAGAGGAAAGCAACAGAAACGATAAAAGGTTGAGAAAACCTGACCTATGAGGAAAGGTTTCCACGTGTCCAGTTTTATTTGTCTTGAGCAGGGATCTGATAACCGTCTTCCTACATGCTATGGGCTGTTATAAAGAGGATGGTGATCAGTTCTCCATGTCCAATGAAAGCAGGCCAAGAAATAATTTGCTTAATCTGCAGCAAGGAAGATTTAGGTCAGCTATTAAGAAAAACTGTAGAAGAACAGATAAGTACTGGAACAGGTTACCAAGGGAGGTTGTGCAATCCCCACCATTGGAGGTTAAGAACAGGTTAGAAGGAACACCTGTCAGGAATGGGGTCTAGGTTTATTTCATCCTGTCTCAGTGGAGGAGAAAGGGACTAGATGATCTCTCCAGGCCCCTTCTAGCCCTACAATTCTATGACTTCTTATGATTAAAAAACACATTTCTTAATATTATACATCCTGCCACCTGTCCCCAGATGCTTCTCAGGACTCGCCTGGAGACAAGCTTCTCAAGCTCAGGAGTCTGGCTACCTCTTGCCAGGTTCACTCTCTTCCTTTTCTCCCCAATCAGTCTCTTTAATGTTATGCCTGAAGGGGTCAGCAGGCAGCCCTTTCCTTGATGGTGTCTTTCCCTTTATAAGGTCCAGGTGAAACAAAATGTAAGGCCAGAAGGGACCACCACATCATCTAGCCTGACCTTCTGTATATCACAGGCCACCAGCACCCATGCACTAATCGCAACAACCAAAATTAGACCAAAGGATTACAGCCCCCAGGTGCCTTCCCTTAAGCCCAGCAGGTAATCAGAGATGAACTGAACCCTGCTCCCTCTCAAAGGGGCTAATCAGCTTGTGACAGTTGGCCTTTTCCTGTCCTGGTCCAAACTGATTTTGTAGGTTGGCTGAAGAGGAGACAAAAATCACCACAGCTAATAGATAAGGGTCAATGTCAAAGCTATCACTCTCCACAAATTCTTGGGAGTTATCCTTTTCTTTCCTGTTCGTTACCCTCCCCGCCCCCCCCCCCACCCCACACACACACTCTCCTGTTGATTTAACCCACTATAGCCACACAGAAAACATGCCAACAGCCAGGCCAACACACAGTAGTCATAAATTATTACAGAGCCGCTCCAAATGCGTCACACTGGTCCTTGAACCACAATATGAAGAACTCTGTGGGGGGCTGGGCTTGGCTTTAGTAGGCAACAGACTCATAGAATGCAGACTCTGTTCCATGGAACAATTTCATTTGAACCATATTTTGTAGCCTTTGTGTTGGCTTCCCCCCGCCCTCTTTCATGCACAAATGTGGCATAGTTTTGAACAGATTAATGAGGCTTAAACATGCCCGTAGACAACCAGAAATCCATAGATTTCTTCCATGTGCAGTCTCCATTGAGAAGGGCCCAGGGACCACCACCAGGCCAGACATGGTGCCTGCAGACAGGCTCCCCAGTAAGAAAATATGTCCCCTGTACACCTTCAATTGAGTCAAACAGATGTGACCAACAGAGCCATTTCTAACCTGAATACCAAAGCCATTTTCATCCCTCTGTTTCATCCGGTGGAAAGGGTGAAAAGAATGGAAAACCTGCTCCTTTGGCTGAACTCCTATTGAAAGTGGGGGCTGGGTAGGCCGAGTGTAAATGTCATCATGTCCCCCATCTTGGACATTGTCAAATCCCCTCTGTCCAGACTCTGTTTCTCTGGTATTCAATGGTCATGGCCTTGGTGGGAAGGGAGAGGGGTCAGAGGGAAGAGTGCTGATTATAGCCTCACCCCCTTCCAGACTCAAGTCTTTCCTCATAAGATCATGCTGATCATTCTCTTGTTACCATTCTTACCACAGGACGGGGATATGGAAGGGATCAACAGGAGCATGGCAAAGTGTGCGGAGATGGGCACCTGGGAGCAGCGCAGAGTCACTGTATCTCTGTGCAAATGTCCACACATGGAGTTAACCGTATGTGTAAACAACCCCTCAGATGTGCATTTCCCTAAGAAGTGGAAATACCGTCAAAGGGCCATACTGCTATCCACAGACTGACACTAGCTCTGTAGCTATGTACGCCCCTTCCACTTAATGAATTGAAGATGTCTTGGGACATTTGTTTCCATTTGTACTATGCCACTACAGTACCCTTTCATTTACCAGTCAATTCAATTTTCTAATAGAAAATATGTAGTCTGCAGTTCATTACAGTAATCTGCCTAAACAATTGCTTGAATAATATTAATCAATTGTTTCAAGTTCTATAAACCAAAGAAACCAGTGGATTTGCTTGGGATTATGTCCACAGCCCTCATGTCACAACTAAGGCTGTCAAAGGTGTCACGAATTCCATGGGCTTTTTTAAACATTGTCCATGACATTTGGGGAAATGTGTGTGGATAACGTTTTAACAGCAATGCAGCTCCTTTCTTCTCACAGGATCCCAAAGTGCTTTTACATATCCTGGGCCCGATTCTCAACTGCCTCACATCTTGTGTAGCTCTAAACACCTGTGCAAAGTGGATGTAAAATGCTGCCATTCTGATCCGATAACATTTTACACAGAGTCTGCACTCAGTGACTACACAGGGTGCAAGGAAGTGAAGAATCAGGCCCTATTATAATCTCTATACATTCATAGATATGAAATATAGGGAGACATCCACAGGCACGTCAAATGCAACCACTTCTAGGGTACATATTTTGTTTGCTAAATAGTTTTCTAAGAATGGGGGGGGAGCAGATATTTTTTAACCCTTGCACAAGTTAAAAAATGATTGAAGAGTTGGTTTTGAGGGTCTTTTTTTTAAAAAGTCATCTCTCAGCTGAAATTAAACAAGGAAAATTTGAGCCCAGAAAAGAAACAGCCCCAGCCCTTAAGTCAGGATCATGTGAAAACAGGGGGTAGCATTGAAAGTCCTGACATTTTAAAGACATAGAGAAAAGCAAAATATTTACCTCAAATATGCGCAGAACTTTAGCCAACGCCCCAACCTTTTCTTTCAGCAAGAAAATCAAAGAGATCATATCATTTTTATATGTGTTTTCTTCAATGTACATAGTCTCCTGAAAGATAAACAAACTCTTTTAAATTCAACTATACAGGTAGGGCCCTATTCTGCTCTGCAGTACGTCCTCTTTGCCCTCCTCCAGCGACTCAAAGTGGACTTACTGCTGCCTTAAATAGACATCTGAGCATTACCCCAGCATAGGGGGTGTGCCACGGCAGAGCCAAAGTGTACTCTTCCCATCCCAGGTTAGCATAGGGAGCTGCTTCTGCTTGTGTAAATTAGAACAGCATTATGGCTACTCTGATATATGCTGGGGATAAGCCACCCCTTCAAGGAAGTACCACGATTGGTGTCATTAAGTCCCCAACAATGTCCCACTTCACCTTTCAGACACACCAAGCTCACTTCATGCACACTTGAGGATTTAACGTTCTTTTTTCTTATATATTGTGAAAAGACTTTCTTTTAGATTTTCCTTTCATTAAATCATCCCCTTAGGATTCAGCAGAACTACATACACACATATACATGCAGAGCATAGAGCCATCACAAGGACTAGGCACCACTTATACCCTCAAAATAGCACTTCAGAGATGACTTTCACCCAGGGTGGGTACCAAAATTAAAGACATGGTGCAGCAAATGTAAAAAGTCAGTGAAAGGCTGAATGAATAGTGACAGATGGTAAGATATGCTTTCATTTATATTCATTCATAACATATTAAGTTTTCTTCCTCAAACAATTAAGCACAATTTCTGCTATGCACTAGCTAAGGTGTGCCTTGCCCCCATTACCATGGGGAGATTGCACCTCACAATCTTTAATGTATTTGTCCTCACAAAATGCCTCTGAGGTAGGAAAGTAATATTATCCTGATTTTACAGGAGGGAAATTGAAGCACAGAGGCCCAGATCCTCAAAAGGTATTTAAATCAAACAGGAGTTCAGCACTTAACTTAGTGAGATTTTTGAAAGCACCTAACCAAGTGCCTATCTGTATCTTTAGGTGCCTAAATGCCTTTGGAAAAATCTGACACTAAGTGACATGCCCAAGGGCACACACAAGAAGCCTGTGACTGAGCAGGGAAATAAACCCAGGAGTCTCAGACTAGCACCCGATTCACAAGACCATCCCTTCCATTTCTCTCTCTAAGATATTCTTCAGAACTGTATTTTCGGGGTCATCTCCAGAGATCTTTCCTCCTGCAGAACTTCTACTAAAAATCAATGAGAGTTCGGTGTAAGAGAAAAACAATGCCAGGATAGAGGCCTTGCTAATAGCAAAGACAGAGTCTGCAGCCTTTGGTTCAGCAAGGGAATCTGGCTTTCCTTGGGCCTCCAACACTGCCCCTGAAGTCAAAAGGGAAGGCCTCATGAGGGACAATATTTTCTGGTGCAGTGATACACAGAACAATGTTCATTTTAAAAATAAAATATTGTTACTTCTCCAGACCAGCTTTTGTACTTGTGTTAGACTGTGCACTGATCACTAGAGGCTGAGGGAACATTTTCTGCCAGGTGCCGCTCCCTTTGGGATGCTCAAATGGCACAAAGAGGATTCTCCCAGTATGGGGAGTCTCCAGAGGGTGAAGGGCTGGTATAGATTGTAAGCTATTTGGAGCAGGGACTGTCTTTTTGTTCTGTGTTTGTACGGTGCCCAGCACAGTGGGGTCCTGGTCCAGGACTGGGGCTGCTAGGTGCTACAGTAATACAAATATAGCACCTTTCTGATGAGGCTTTCAAAACACCTTACAATCATTAACTAACTTTAGATTACGACACTATTGCATGGTAAGTAAGGGATATAGAGAGGTCACTTCACCACAGCATTAGGGGGTAAACCAGCAGCTGTTTCATAGCAAACAAACAACATTAGGTAATAGTTTAGGATGGGATGTGAAAAATACCAGTACCAGGGCAAACTGTTCCAGCTTTAACTCATCCTCCCAGTTGCGCAAATGAGCATGGGATCAAAGCGCAAATAAGCATGTGATTGAGGGGTCTGGGTCTGGATGGTTTGGGGAGGTGTGGGTAAAAACCATGTGTAGAGAGACAGGCTAAAAGACTACAGCGTAAAGGAAAGATTGCCATCTATTGAATCATCAACACCACTTCCCACAACATGTGTGTTTTCTGGAGCCTTCTCATACAAATACTGACCCCTTCCAACTCTACTTAGCTTGTGAAGCCTGAGGGAAACAGCAGTAGTAGACAGTATGGCAGCAGACTAATGAAAGCCATTCACACAAGAAGCACTTGTGTAAGAAAAATGTCAATATTCTGCGCGATTTAATGAGGAAAAATTTTAACAATGAGAAAACAATTCTAAAATATTAGCACCAGATGAGTTTGATGTTCTGTATGCAAGTCAGCTTTTCTTGGGAAAAAACAAATCCATTACACCAACGTCAGGCAAGTGGAGAGGGCATTTAACTTGAAAATGTTTTAGAACACAGCCTTTTAAAATCCAGGCAACAGTGCAATTAAAATAATATTTAGAACCCTGTACAGATCTCCGTAATAGGCTCAGATTAATATGTCTAACAAAGGAGGAAGTTGTGAGTTGGCATGGTATATAATCAGAGGTGCAAAACCTGCACAGTAGCTATAAAAACTGATAGTTTTAGATCATGTGACTTCAACCGTGTACTCAAACCCTAATAAATTCCCTTTGGCCCTTAACTTTAATGTGTTGAATCAAGTCTTTAAAAAAAAAAAAAAAAAAAAAACCAACACACACACACATAG